TCCACATTTTCTGCATATCCAAGAAATGCTTATTTTGTGTTCCATCATTCATTTCACTGTGCTGTTCAAGAAAAACAACCAAATAATACAGAAAAGCTATAAAAGCTTTGAGTGGCTTTCCCAACCATTTCTAATGCACCAAAGTCACTAAATCAGCCACTAAAAGGTGTGTATGTGCATCGTGTGTCCATGCGCACGCCCACGCAGGTCCTTTGAATTGTGTGTGCTTTTTACAGCCAGCACAGCGAAGCTCTTAAGGCCAAAAGAAGAGCTTTTAAAGCAGTTATTGACTTCTGTCTCCTTGGCTGACCACCATCTTGTCCTTTCGCCCGGGTTGCCTAGCTACGGAATTGTGGTTCACCCTCACCTGACAGGAGGGTCAACGCGTTGCTCAGCCTGCCCTGCCTCGCTGAAGACTACTTGAGAGGAAAACACCTCTCCGACCACAACTACTTTGTGATCGGAGAGGCTACTTTGCAATTACTTTCCTGCTAAATTAATTCCTGTCATCTTTAGTAATTAAAAAGTGCTGCTTGCCGCATTAAGCATCAATAAATCATTACTTCATTAATTTTGGGACATCAGTATTATTCCCTTAAACTAACAGGAGCACTGCCAAGAAAATGGAATGCCTCTACACCTTATCTACATTTTGTAGGAGCACGTGGATTTTGCAGGAAAGCTGTTGGATTTTCTCCAGTATATTTATCCTCTTCAGAAATGTTAAAAATAAAACAAACGCAATAGACCTGCAATGCTTTTTTGTGGTCTATGTTTTGGATTGCATTAGGTTGCACAGGATTTCTGTATTTTGTGTCCACAACTTTCACCACACGAAGCAATGGTTTGCAGAAACATGTGGTCTTAAGTGAACTTGACCAGTCTTCGTTTACTGCAATTAGACCAAGGCATCAAAGTTCATTTGACAATTAATTGTTTTGAAAACATGTTGCACTGAAAACTTAACAAGCAACTTGATTACAAAAGCGTTTGCTGGTAATATTGCGCAATGTATTAACGAAGACATAAATAAAGCAGATGAGGGGTTGCTTAAGTTGTTTACTGCAAAATGATTTTGGTTATAAGGGGCAGAAAGAGGGATGAGTGGGCTCTACTTTCTCCCACGTCAGGAGTGGTCTCTTGACCAAGGCAGCGAAGCACTACAGTGTTATGAAGAAAAACAACAAGCCATTTACATTCAACAAGTTTTTCTCCACGCCTCCTCATTCCACCTTAGCGTGTGTGCGCGGGGAGACAAAGCGAGGACCGCGGCTGCTCTTATTGTCAACTGGATTAAATTAAAAAAAGATTTATTCCAAAGAGCTAAAAAAAAAAAAAAAAACAGACAAAGGCAGCGAGTGTGTAGTCGGAGGGAGGAGAGAAGTGACAGTGAAGTGACAGACAAAAATTTGATTTTATTCTCTATGGCCGACTGTATAGGGAAGAAACCAAAAATGCTTGGCTTAAGACACTCAAATGCAGCCTCAGTCACAAACATAAAAGCGTGAAAATACATCGCCTCTTCTGATCTTATCACATATGTCACTATCAAGGCTGAAAGCTTAGAGGAATCCAAGATTTTGAGACCTGAGAAGGGGAAAGGAGACATTTGAGATGATGGGTCTTAATCCTTCAGTGTTACACAGCTTTGTCAGACCCACCCATTCACCAACATAAGATGTCCCTGTGCCATCTCAATTCTGCAGGGACCCCGGAGAAACACAGAGTGACCAGCTTCAACAAAGAAGCTCAAGGCCACACCAAAGGTTAGCTCTGACAGGAGGCTTAGGACTACGCTGCTGGTCTTTCATTCCCTATCCCACCTTTTCGTATAATCTCACATCTATCATTTTCCTTCATGCCTGTCATCTTGCATTTCAAACTAAAGCTCCATCTGGTCAATGCAGCCAGTCGGGCCACTGCACACACACACACACACACACTCCAAAGCACATATCCACATACATATGTGTGTATGTTAGCACACTCGAACTCATTCATCGTCACATACAATAGCGCACACACGCGTACGCACTCTTATGTACACGTGGTGCAGTAAAGGTCACACATTCAGTGCTGGACAGCGTGACAATGCATCAGACTTAGATAAACAACTAATGGTGAACGTGGCAGGATATAAATCAGGTGCAGGGAGAGAAAGCCTCCTTTCCATAGGCAACTGGAAACTCTTATCTACAATCAGTGTCACGAGGACTGTAAATAAAAGCTTTGGTCCTATGTGTATGCACGTGTCTAACATACTGTATTTTACATTATCTGCTACTTACTGTTACTGTTTATTTAGGTATACGTGGAAGAACTGGAGGTCTTTGAGAGCAAGTTGACAATCTGCAGTTTATGATTCACAGCAACACTAGAAGAGCCTTTTTACAATTTTAGCAGTATTTGTTCACATTCACTTCACATAATATTGTTCGTGTGTCCATTAATATTGTGGGGAAACAAAGTGAGTTTTTGAAGCAGGAGGTAGAAATGCCAAAAAATTTAGTTTTGTTTTCCTCTCGTATTAGTGTTTCTCTGGCTTTATGTAGAAAATAATAGCTGAGAAAGTGTGAAAGAATGTAGATGTGTGCCTCTCATCATATATATGTGGGTGTGTGTATATAATTGTGTGTTTTTTTGTGTGTGTTGTGGCTGAATGAGGTCACAGTGATGCAGTAGCGTTCCGGTTGGGAGTGCTCCATCATTCCCAGAACACCCTGGCGGGAATACTGCAGTAGAACGGCAGGGAACAGCTGTACCGCACACATATGCAAACAACTATACACACACACCCTTCCCTCCCTTAAGTTCCGACCTCTCACACTTTAATTTATTTCTTGTAACATCACCAAGAAAAATGACCACACTTTACCACTGCAATGAATGGGACATACTCACACTGTCTACTTGCTGAAACCTATTTGCATGACCTATTTCTAAATTACATGGATAACTTGTGTGTATCACATACAACCCAAAGAACCTGCATAACAACAGGTGCTGCATATACCCATGATATTCCTCCCTAATCCCATCAACTCTTGAGACCTGATAGTTCCATCTTCAAACTGTTTTGTACTTTTGGAAATCCCACAAATTCCAACCAACAGTCCTATTTAAACAAAAAGCACATTATACAGATGTTATAACCCTTGACAGGCAGCCTCATCTGGTCCCACACATCATCTCCACCACTGTGTAACAAACCACAGCCTAATATCAGCTAATCAATCCCTGAAGTACTCTCACTCTCTTCACTGTGGCACTGACATGAGCTAGAGGGGGGAAATGAAGACATTCTAATAAGAAAGATGTCATCTCACACACTTTATAACATCCTCAAATTAACATATCAAATGTTAATTCTATCAAGTATGGATAAGGCCCCAGCTTTTCTCTCTTTTTTAATCTCTGGGGGACATTTCTTACTTTGAGGAAATCAAAAGCCTGTGTGAGACAAAAAATATTTCCTGTTATTATTCAACAGAGGCCACAGATAGCATCTTATCTCTGTAGGGTCTCTGTCGTAAGAGAGAGGGGGATAGAGAGCTTTGAGGAAAGACACATGCATAATGTTCACAGAGAGATGTTCAACATATGAGTGCATACAAACATACACCATCACACATAAACAAGGATGGGCCAAACACGCCCTGTTAAATCCAATTAACCTTCTGCTCTGAACCCCTCAATATATCCCTGCCCCTGTCTTGTAACACCAGACCTCCCCGCCATTTCATTAGCACACACACACATCCATACATCACAGCCCTGCTAATGCACCTTCTATAATCCAATCCGCCAATCACTGCTCTTCAAGCAAAGGCCTGCATCACATGACTACCCGCACGTTAGCCTAACGTTCACTTGCAGTTAGCACGGTCATTTGGCACTAATGTTATTCCAGTGGATTTTTTTTTTCCTTTAATGTGATTTGGGAAGTCTCAGCTCCGGCTTCCACAAGTCTAGCGCTAAACCCCCGGTGGGCTAGGCTAATCAGTTTCCAGCATTTCTGAGGGAGACAATGATCCCAGTGTTAGCGCTGGCTAATGACAAGCTAACACAATTAGCCTAGCCTCCCTGGAGGAGAGCTCAGAGCCAGGGCCCATTCTTGCCCCACCTCCCGCAGGCTCCTCATCCACTTTCCCTACATTACTATGGAGCCTAATGGCCTCTTATTAAGAAGACAGATGGAACGCGGATGGGGTGGGATTCTGCATCTTCTTGAGTTACATATATGTGTCAGATATGTGCTACATCCATGGCCGCTTGGATGCCTAATATTACCTCCTCTGTTAATAGCTTCACTGAAGTAACCATTCTTTTCACTGCGAGGTGCAGCTGTAACTTCTATTTACAGTGCAGCACTATCAGAGCGAGGAACTCACATGCACTCATTGTGCTATAATGCACTTTGAATAAAAACAGGCGCCAAAAACCTCATTAGGTTTTATTGAAGTACAAGACTAATGGTTAGCAGTTTGCAATATAAAGGAGGACAAAGGAGTCAAACTATTGTTGTAGAGTTCTTACAACTTATTTGTTAATCCTGGTTGACCCTGGTCTAGCTGGAGATAAAGTTTTACAGAATAAATGATACTCTTAAACTAACTTTTAAATTAAAAGAGCACGAGAAAAGCTGTCATCAACATGCGATCAGGCTTATCAGTGAACCACATCATCAACATCAGCTAAAGGGACGGACTAATGTGGTTCTGATTGAAAGGCGTAGTTAAGGATGTGGCTAGCATAATTCAATAATGTGTTCACTGGTCCGCATGGACAACTAATCTACAATAGATGCAGAATAAAATAAATAAGTAACTAATATGCCTACATTAAAATGAGAACTTTAAAAGAAAAAAGAACAAGGAAAGAAAAGGAACAACGGAAGTTCTATTTTTGGAGGTCACTGTAAATAATAGGTTAAAAAACAGTTGGTATGTGATTTAAAGCCTTTGATTTACTTTGATTCTACTGTGTCTACTGTAACTTACTTGAACTTGGCATTCACTTGGTCGGCAGCTTTATGGTAGTTCTCTGTGGTGACCTTGTAGAACTGAGCACTCTGTAGAGAGATGGAGAGAAAGGCAGACACGCCAGCGGGTGAGATAAATGCATGAAAATGTGATGTAATCATTTACATAAAGAACTCCATCCAATTTATTCACATCTTTCCTGCTTTCAGGATGAAGCTGTTTAGGGCAAAGGAAAAGGAAACATTCAGCAAGTGGCACCCCTTAACAGTTCAGATCTGACATCATTCTACCTACAGTGCAGCCAAAGTCTACGCCGCACTGCTTTATCTTCCATCACACAAACTCCATTAAATCTTTATGGACAGGGACATTAAAGTCACAAGTCTATTACCGGAAACTAACTCTTTGATCTGCAATGTACATTGTACAGTAAGTAGGGAGTATGTTTGTAGGTAAGAAGTCTGCAACGAGGACAGTTTTTCTATTTTGGTGTGCGTGTGTGTGTGTGTGTGTGTGTGTGTGTGTGGGGGGGGGGGTTGTGCCTCTCCATGTGAATTACAGGTATTTGTGTGTTTATGTGGGTGTTTGTGTTTATCCTTTCACAAACTGCTGTAATAACAGGCAGCAATGCTGTAAGGTCAGCGGGTCTCTAGTCAACAACGTACAGACCACCGATCATAAACCCCCAGTGACCCACAGCCAATGAAGCCATAGCAGCACCCCTCAACCTGAATTACCTCCTCAAACACAGCCATATAACCTAACTCCTACACCATTTATACTACTTGAGGAAGATCTGTTTTGTCAGCCCTCAGCGGCTGTTCTGCACATTTATGATCAAATAGTGAGAGGTTGTAAAGTGTGATGGATGGCTTGATTGACAGTCATATGAGGTTTGATCCAGGGGCAAAACTAAGCAATGTCTACCAATTCCAATGTCTTCCTGTGAAGGACTCCACTTTAATAATAGTAATACTATTATTATTGATGAATTATGAATTTTCAAACTTAGTTCTATCAATCTATGTATCGTTAAGAAAAACAAGAACCCTCGAGCCGCATACGTCTTAACCAAGGCCTGACAATAACCTTAGGCCAAGAATTTGTTGTGCAAAACGCACACAGTCAGTGACCAGCTAACCCGTTAACATTACACTCACAGGAAAGCAAACAATTACATCATCTTGCATAAATTACAGATACACTTGAAATGTGACAAATGTAAGCCTCTTGGTCCCATCTGCCCTAACGTAACCTCCAAGCAGGGAAGACATTCATCATAGTTCAGAAAAGATCAATAGGAATGAACTGCACTGCTGAAAAGATCAATAGTCATGTGTTGTAGAGCTAAAAGAAGATGGGACATGACAACGCTGACAGAAGGTCTGATACAGTTTCGAGTCCTCTTCATTCGGATGGACACTTATACTGAGGGTTTGCAATGTATTCACTCCGTTACTTTTCCATTATGTTAACTGACATTAACAAAAACAACACAAAAAACATGCTTTTTAAGCGTTTTCTCTCTATATAAAGTATCTTTAGTATAGACTTCACAGATGTCACACATGTATTGAACTGAGACAAAAGAACAACCTTATTTACATATAATCAGACCCTTTGCTGGGACACTTCCAACTTACATACATTTTGTTTCCTTTGACATTCTTCAAGTCCACGCGTGTCAAACTGATTTCTTGGAATGATTTATGTCTATGTAAGGTTCCATATCCTGACCTCCACGAGAACCTCCTTACATGTCCAAGATATTAGGTATGTCACGAGAACTGATAATTTGGTACCGAATCCATCGATCGAATTCTGAAAACATGATGGTACTCGTTTTACTAGAGTTCACCGTAGGTAGCAGATGATCCAACATGTTGAAGATGGCTACAAGTGCAGTTGCAGCAGCAGCTCTGCCTAGACTTATCAAAAAGAAAAACAGTAAGAGTTGTGAAACTGGGGTGAAGTTAGTTTAATATTGAACATTTGTTTGTTTTTGTGGCTGTAACCTTCAATAGCTCCGTGTCAAAGCCTCAATTTCTCCCAGTTTTGAATATGTTGGAGAGCTAATTTAGGCAGACGCTTCACAGGTTCGATCCACTCAACATCACCAAATATGCTGATGCAGTTGAGAGCGCAAAGAACTGGATGTCTGTGCAATTCACCTGTCACTATAGGCAGTTAGAGACTTAAAAGTGTAATATGTTTCAATCTTCAATAATTTTTTTGTTTTTCAACATAAACATCTCAAACCACTGCCAAGACAGTAGTGACTACCCATAAACATTTCACACCTGTGAGTTTGTAGAAAACTTAATTAATTATGCACTTTGCAAGGATGTAATTTTAATAGCTTGCTCATTTAAGAATATATTGACATCCACTCACAACTTTCAAAGCAGTTTTTTTTGTAATGTTCAAATATTTTAATTAAAGGAATGTATGTTGAAGTACATGGGATTTATTGTTTGTTTTTTACCATTGTATCGAGAGAACCATGAAATTTCACTGGTATTGGTATTGACTACTAAATTTCTGGTGTCGTGACATCCCTACAGGATTTATACAGGTCAGGGGATACATTCGCAGAGGGGAGTAAGTGACTGCTAGAGAAGATTTTTGATAATTTCAAATGGGTATAAAATTAATGAAATTAAATATTACAAAATGTGTAAAAATGAAGAGGTCTGAATCCTTTACAGACCCATTTCAGTTGTTCCATAGGCAGACATTAGTTTGTATGTAAAACACAATAAAGAAGATTGCCCAAAGTTTAGGAGTTTACTTGTAAGCTCATGCTGTATCTGTGACCTCTTGGCCTTGAATCAAGTGGTTTTCAGCGTAGACAAAGAAACTGTCAAAAAGGATTTAAAAGATAAGCTTATTCAAAGATAAAAAGACTAAAAAGAGATTTTAGGGGCTGCTAAAGAGGCAACAATAAGACTTCTCCTGGGTGTGGAGATTGAGCCATTGGAAGAGAAAGAGACAGTCTAAAAGAGCTGGATTTCGGTCTCTGTCTAGAATACTAAGTATAAGGTAATAATACCTGCCTAAATGGCAAAGCTGGCACTAATCAGCGCACTAATCCACCTGGGAAGACAAAAGGCCGTGTGTGACAATGATTGCAGGACCACTTACAATACACATACACAAACAATGCACTTGCATTCACGCTGACACCTGACATGCACAAGGTACTATCGCACACAGCATGGGTACATATGTGGACATGCTGCCAAAGGTGTCTACACATACCCTGCTGGCTAGATATAAAAAAGAAAAAAGAAAAAAACACTCGCTCACCACCAGACAGAGAAGAGTGTAATTTTGTGTGATTACTGAGTGGTCTCAAATTGTGATTTCCAGCTGTTGCCCCAACTGATTTAGAGAGTGGCCCTGACCTTTTGTTAGCCCACAGAAGAGAGACTTTGCTCGGTTTGGTTGAAAACATTCCTCCCTGAACCAAATAAATAAATTAGGAGCTGCAAAACACAACCTTGTTTTAAATCTCACAGAAAGATTTTTTCTTTGAGATTGCTGTTCAGTAATTCTTTTTCACACACAACTGTGTAACTTCAAGAACCTTTCACTGTGTATACCCCATGTACAATCAAGTTATCTACCTCTTAAACAGTGTTTCTGTTCATTGTCATTCATTTATGTGCTCTGTTTGTTTTCCACTAGGTTTTTAGCTCATTTGGAGCCAAACAAATTGCTGGTGGGGGGTGTCACAGACAAATTAAGTCATTACTGCTAATGCACTGCTGCGATATGGAGAAGATAGAAGGTGCACCCCAACACAGACTCCAGCTCAGTTTAAAGAAAAGGCCTCCAATTTTTAATGAATAAAACAAATAACTCCCTGCACTGATGGCTTCTTTCTCTTATCTGCTGCTGAGCAGGAGGGCTGAAATGGGGAGAAACCCCACCATGCCCAACATTACGGTTCTGCAGAGCTAGAGAAAATGAGACTTCTGCTGTGTGCAAGTTCCTCATAAGGAGAGCAAAGAGTCTGGTAAACTGCTACTGAGCCTATCCTGCATACACAGAATTGGCGAAGCATTTCAAGATTTGGCAAGAAAACATGGGTGGAGATGAGGAAACAGAAGAGTCAACCAGAACTGACCATCTTTATCATGTTAAACTCATATAAGAATTTATTTTTAGCCAAAGGTAGCTACAATGGTGTGAAAGTGTTTGCCCCCTTCGTGATTTCTTATTTTTTTGTATGTTTGTCACACTGAAAATGTTGCAGATCAAACATATTGAAATATTAGACAAAGATAACACAAATTGCAGTTTTTTATTTAAGGTTTTTATTATTAAGGGGAAAAAATCCAAACCTACATGGCCCTACATTGCCCCATAAACCTAATAACTGGTTGGGCCCCCCCACACAGCAACAACTTCAATCAAGCATTTGCAATAACTGGCAATGAGTCTTTTACAGCGCTTTGGAGGAATTCTGGCCCACTCATCTTTGCAGAAGTGGCCGCTTTGGAGGGTCAGTGGAAAGACGTGATTCGCCCAGGGTGGCGCGACCTGACTGAAAGACTCATCCCTGGGGTTAAATTGTTTCTATTTCAGCATAAGATTTGCAATTATCCTAGGGCTTTATAATTTTATTCCATAAACATAGTACATAGACGAGGAAAAAGGAGAGACTGTAGGAAAATAACAGAAACAACTGGAGTTTCTGCGATCAGAAATTCAGTTCTGAGATCAGTCAGAGGCTGAGATTAAGTCACACAGGCACACTCCCACACAAAGGGTTGATTAGTTATCTTACAGCTAACTTTATTGCAGTGCAGTCGGTACATTGGCTGTTTTGAGAGAATAAACACAAATGTCCAGCAATCAAATTGGGGCGAAAACCTAAGTGTAAAAAAGACACATTGTGGATTTACCAGGGTAATGGGCAGGACTATTTCTTGGCCAGGCTCAGTCACTTCCTGGTGTCTCCTCTAGTTGGCAGGCAAGCTTAAAGATTATGTTACCTTTGGACAAAGCTAGCCTAACAGTTTCCAGTTTTTGGGCTAAGCTAAGCTAATAGATTCGATATATTTACCGTATAGACATGAGA